GGTACTTAAGTTGTCTGGTTCTGTATCATTAATTTAACGAGCAAGTGGTTAATTTAAAAATAATTATGGGATATATTTTTTGGAAACAAAAAGCAAGTGAGAATATACTATCGTGAGCAAAAATTCACAATAATTAAAAATAATACTGCCCTGGAAAATAGAGGACATGGAAACCATAAGTGCTGCAGCTTAAGACAGTCCAAGACCAGTAGCTGGAGTGTAGCTCCATGGTGGGGCACTTGACTCATATCCACAAAGTCCTAGGTTCAAGGCTGCCATTCCCATCGCTGAAGAAAAACAAACAAACAAACAAACCAGGCTAAATTCCTCCAAATTCCAGATTTAATACAATAAGAATGCTCACTATTCCCAAGATATATTTTTAGAAAATTGTGACTAGAAGGTAAGTTTTAAATTTAAGAATACTAAACCTAATGCCTGTCCAGGAAGATCTTCCAGGGTTAAATAGCTCAGTGTCAAAGATTCTTGGTGAGAGTTTAGCTTTGATCTTGATTGACAGTAAGAAATACTGTACATTCCAGATCCAGGTCAACTCACAAACAAGGCAAGCAAAACAATGAAAAAGGCCCAAGCTGTGCTCATACGTCATTTAAGAGGCTGCCTGAGATTCTAACATGGGACATTAGAATCACAAGCTTTTGCTGCTAGAGCTGGGAGTAAGAGCCAGGCCTCTTAGCCCAGCACTACAAGGATCAAGGGCCCCCTGGGCTCATCTCTCTGGCCTCAGTGTTCTCAACTCTCATATTCAAAACTGAAAATTGCTATTGCTATTGTCCAGTACCACAAGTACAGGGAACACTGATTTTTATTTGTGACCATGTACCTATCAGGGCTTAAATGTGAAATGTTCCCCAAAGACTCAGGTACTGAAGGCTTGAATCCCCAATGCAGCAATGTTCGGAGGTGGCATCTAGAAAGGTGACTGGATCATGAGTGTTAATGATTAGTCTATTGATGAATCATAGCTTAAGGGGCTCTTAGGTAATAGGGTCCAGCTGCAGGAAGTAGGTTAATGAGAGTGTGACTTTAAAAGCTGTATCTTGTTCTTGGATCCTCCTTGACAATCCTACCCTCTCTGCTATCACCAAGTGAACATCTTTCTTCTACCATGCCCCTCAGCCATGATGTTTCTGCCTTGCCAAGGGTCCCAAAGCAATGAGAGCCACCAACCACAGACTGAAATCTCTGAAACTGTGAACTAAAGTAAATCTTTATTCCTTTATGTCATTTTTTTCAGGTATTTGGTCATAAGAAAGTAAAGGTGACTAATACAGTGCCCCCAATATTTGCAGTAAAAAAAAAAATTTATGTTCCAAGAAAGAGGGTCGATTGAATCAAAGCCAAGAAAAGCCTAACAGTGCCTCTCTCAAGGATGAAGTAATAAATGTGTAAATAAAAAAGAGGGCTCTACAATCTACAAAAAAAGCACTGTATGTATAGCACACATTGTTAAGTCTTTTAAGCTCAAGTAAACAGACTAGAAAACTCAAGCATATACTAGGGCACTGTCAAAGATCCCAAGAATGTGAAACTGCTTTGCAGAGAAAGACTCCAAAAAGTGCTATAGAAGGAGAAAGCTTCCCTTAAAGAGACTCAAGGAATGTTTTATGGAGAAAGTCCAGCATTTGAGTGGATTTGGTGAGACAGAACTTTGACCAGCTGGAGTTACCATCCAACTTGTGTTCCAGGGAGAGCACAAGTTATGGCACTGCAAGGAGAAAGCTCAAAGTAAAGGCCAGGAGTCCGGTATGGTGCACTAGGTTCCAGGTAGAAGGACAGCACTATAATGTGAGGTCAACTCATGAGGCCTGGAGTTTTAGAATATAAACATCAATTACATAAACAATCCTAACAGAGCTACTCAGTCAAAATACCTAGTTTTAATATTTTGGCTTAAAGAGCAAAAGCTGCCTTTTGTCTAAATCTAAGTATCTTTCAACATTTAAGAAAGCAGGTGCTAATTCCATTAATTTATTCTAATTTGACTAATGAAAAAGACTGATGGCTGGTCAAGATGGCTGGTCAAAAAGCCATCCAGAAAGTAAATTAATCTGTTTATTAGACTGTTATTATTCATATATTACAATCATAATTACTAAAATAAGCAAATCTTAGAAATAATGGCTACTTTTAAAATTTAGGACAATGTAAACTATTTTTCAACCATAGAATTTATCAATTCATTGCTACTTACAGTCGAAATATAATATATTGCTAACAAAGAGAAATTATATCATAGAGCTGACATAAGGACTTCCTCAATTTTAGTAAGAAACTCCACTTGCCAGAAACTCTGAGCCAGCAAACTGCAGGCAATACAATATTCCTTACTTCTGAGCATAAGGTCAAGGCTGGGAAAATAATAACAAATTTTAAATCTATTCTGAACACTTCTGAAATTAAAAAATATTAAAAAGTCATTTTGAAACCACAGCTTCTTGCCAACAAAAACCAAGGATTCATCCAGAGAATTTATACCAACTCATTGTTCAGAAAAATGTAGGAAAATAGAGCATTATTTTAGCTCAAGAGGAAGCATTGCCTATCTTTTTAAAATGATCTTTTATGAGTTTATATGTAGTACATTCTAGATATTGAAACATTATATTTTTCACTACACAGATGATTCTTCTATGGGACTTTCAAGAAAGAAATACAGGTAATACACCCATACACACACAGCTGAAAATCAGCGGGGTGAAGAACTGGCACCAGTCTGGCCACTGCTTGAGTTATATTTTGTAAATCATTAAACTCCTCTGGGCTTCCACAGTCCCACCACTAAACTGAGAGGGTCAAATAAAAGGATCTCTAAAATGCCACATCATGCAACAAATGTTAAGTTCGAGCAGGGGAGAAGGAAGTGGTGCAGAATGAAGTGGACTTTGGAGGAAGGGTAATGAGTTCCATCAGTACTAGCTCAGTGGCCTTAAGTACAGATTTCCTTCTCTGTTGATAAGGTTTAATATTCACCTCTGCAAGAAGCTGGAAGGATGACAGTGTACGCAATGTACCTGGAAGACTGTAGGCACTAAACAAAGGCCGACAAGCAACCCTGGTCAGCAATCAAGCTCTAATGGAAAAGGATAATCTATTTAACCATGCAGCTTCCTAGAACCTGGCTTGGATAGAACAGGGACTGACTGCTAGAGTCTTCCAAAAGGAAAGGAGGTAAAGATAATATTGGAGAAGAGTTGACGATAAGCAAGGGCTTTCAGTGCTGCACATAACAACAATGAAATGGAAAATCAGTGGACGGGATTCCACGCTGAAAGAAAGAAGACGGTTTTTCATTAAGAAGACCCCTAGAGGAGGAATATACACACATTTTATAAAAATATACGTATATACATACGATGAATTACTGCAATGATTTTGTAACCAAAATAAAACAGAAAGCTGGTTAGAGTATGAGTGCCTCTGAATGAAAACAGGAGGGCTTTACAGTACACAAATTATCTTTTTTAACCTCTCAGAATTCCCAAAAGGGATACAGATGATGCAGCACCTGTCCACCTCTCCAGTGTCACCCAGGACCACTGTTCCTCAACCTCACTCCCCTCTAGGCTAACTCTGCTCCCGCCATACTGGCTTTCCTCCATCCCTGAACACTCCAAACTAATTCTCCCTTTATCTCCTGTGCATTGTTACTAGAAACTTCCAGCAGATCTCCCCACAGCTGACTCACTCCACACACCAACACCTCCTCTGGAAAGTCTTCCCTGATGACACACAAGCTCCTTACCCCTGTGATCTCTTTTCTAGTATTTATGACCTTAAATTACTTTTTAGCTTCCATGTCCACTGTATCTCCACCAAAATGTAAGGCATTTGAGGGCAAGGAACTTAGGTAAACTATTCAGTACTCAGTTTCCAAAACCTAAATCAATTAGAGTGACACAGAGATTCATCAGATAAACTGCCCAATGAATAAATTCAAATGATAACAATCAGCATTCTTCTAGGAACATAAGAGAAAGTCCTCAGGAGCTGTTTTAATCATTCCTTTAATGCAGTTTTCTACGATACAATAATTCAATCTTAAAAAGTCCATGTTTGAGAAAAGTGTTTCTTGACAACACAAAACATATGTACATATCATTCTGCATATGGTACAGCGGACATTTTCACTTCAAAAGCACAAATCGCCCACTATCTTATTGACTCCACAATAAAGCAAGGATACCACAAGTTGTTTTCTTTCATCAAATCTTGCTTTGAGAAAGAGGTGGATGGGTAGAAGGAATAAAGATGGGAATTATTTTTCAGAACTCTTCGACTGGACTAATTCCAATGTACTTAGAAACTAAATCTGCCTTTGTTACCTTCCTAAACATATCCAAAGTATTACTGATTCAAATGGATTCAAGGATTCAATGATCCATCCACGAAACAGAAGATAAATGATATAGTGAACAATTCCCTTTTTAAAAGAATTCCAAGTTCCATGCTTTCAACTTATGTTTGAACTAAAAGAAAATAAAAAAATAAAAAACGTTTTTTAACTCAAAAACAAAAGCATACTAATGAGACAAAAAAAAAATGGCACCTTGACTGTGCAAAGTGAATGGAAACCATTGCCAGGGCATTCATGAGTCATGCTTTGATTTTTATTTTGTTTTGTTGTGAACATGATGTTTTTCGATGAATGTGCCAGGATAACCCACGCTTCGGCCCTAGTCGTCATTCTCGATCGCTGAAGAGGGCCCCCAGCCTCCTCAGGGTCCACAGGAAGGAGGAAGGGGACCCCACTTACTGCACCCATCCCTAAACCCCCAGCAAAAGGAGGCACAAGGCTCAGTAGTCTGACTTCTCTTCTGCATCCTTCCTGAATAGAGCCGCCGCGCCCTCCCACTGCCCCCAGGCTCCCAGAATCCGCACAAGAAACGCACCGCCGCGTTGCAGCCTCCCTAAAGTGACCTCATCCCGGGACTCAGTTTTCCCACCTGTCAAATAGGGCGAACAAAAACACAGCGTACCTCTTCGGGTGGGTGGCTCCGGGCCGGCAGCCCCAGCCTGGCCCGGAGACTGCGGCTCCACAGCAGCGCCCGCCTGGGCCCTGCGGGAGGAGGGGCGGGGCGCGACAGGGCGGACCCAGATCAGAATCCGGCCCAGAAGGCACGCTCAGACGATAGCCCTCAACCAGCCGCCCGGCCTCCGTGAAGACCTTCTCGCGACGTCACCACGCTGACGTTGACGCAGGGCGGCCGCACCGCGCTCTGCGACCAAAGATCAGGCTGAGGCGGAGCAGACCCTAGTGGACCTAGCCTATTGGTGAAAGGGCTTGTCAATCATCTATTGACCTGTAAGTGGCGCGGGGCAGGAGGGAGAAGGCGGACTGCACTACATTGAGGAATGGGAGTTGTGGGAGTCTAGTGCGGGGTTTGGGGTCCCTAAGAAGCTTGTACTTTCCTGCAATTAGTGTTACATGGTTTCATTAGCTTCTGCTTCCTCCTTGGTCATTCTGCTTCTCCTGCTGTCCGGCAGTCACTTGGGGTTTTAGGCTCAAGCTCGTGGAAAATAACCATGAAGACGGATGTCTGGGCTTCTGGGCGCCTCCCCTTGAATTCTCTGGTAGTGAAAACACAGGGCATGACATTTCTGTGACGGGATCCACGCTCAGTGTCCCCTCCACTTATGAATTCTCGACTGCCATGGGCCTATTTAGGAGACCCTTTCTCTGTGCTCCTATTGCATAACATCTTGCATAGTACATCTTATTATATTTGTGTCTTTTCCACGATATTGGGCATCATTTATCTGTTTCTTCAACAGATACTAGTTATGTCATTTTGTCTTGTTTGATAACTGCAGATTGAAATCAGGGCCTTCTCACTGAGCGACATTCCCAGCGCTTTTTCATTTTGAGCCAAGGTCTGACTACCTTGCTCAGCTGCCCAGGCTGGGCACAAACTTTTATTGCTTCAGGCCCCCAGAGAGTTTTAAAGGTATAGAGGAATGCAATGAAAATTCTCCACATCCTAGTTTCTCAGTCAGGCAGTTTACCTCTCAGAGGCAGTCAGTGTTATTATTTGGATATCCTTCCAGAGTCATTCTAAGTGCTATTATAAATTTCAAACTACACAAGTACAAAATATCCATGCAAAAAATTTTAAACATTGCAAATGAACTTCTCAGATACTAATTACAAACCCAGTCCTTAGATAATGGCTCCAAGTTCCTGTGCAATTGTAGGTGTAGAAGTTGCGTTTTACACTCAGTGATGAGATCTTTACATATCTATGTGATGTAAATCTACCTCATTCTTTTAAAATGCCTTGTGGTAGTCCTCAGAACACACACACACACACACACACACACGTGTTAATTTACCACTTTCCTACCTCTGACATGTAGTTTGTTTTATTATTATTATTATTAAAAATAATGCTACCTTAAACATATGTGTAGGTGGTTTTTTGTACTTATGTCCAAGTATCCTCTATAGTGGATCGTAGAATATACACATTTTCAGTCCTACTAGATTTCCCTGATTGGTTAATCCTAAGTAGTTGTTACAATTTATTTTCCTACCACTAGTATTTAAAGATTCCTTTTCCTGCATCCTTGCCAAAATTGATAAAATAAAAATTTTTAAGTCTAGAAGTGTAATAATCTTTAGGGTATATTTTGGTGACAAAGTGAACCAACTTGTGTAACTGTCTCCCACTGCAAGATGTGAAATGTTTACCTCCTGCTCGGTCTCAGTGCATCTCCACACATAAATAGCCATTCTTCCAAATACTACCACCAAAATTAGTTTTGTCTTTTTTCAAGCATTTATAGAAACTCAGAGTATGTATTCTTTTGTGGCTCTTTTTGCTTAATATTATATTTTCAAGATTGATCTATATTAAAGAATGTAATATTTATTCACTTTTATTTTTGTATGTAATTACAAACATACTTTATTCTACTATCTTTGATACCAAGCTAGCGTTTGGGGTAACTACCAATGATGCTGATATAAATATTCTTGTACCTAACCCTTAATGTCCTTAGTTACACATTTAATTTTGGTATGTTTCCAGGAATTGTATTATTGTACCAGGGAAAGAATATGGATAGTTTTTCTGTTTTACCAGTTTACATGCCTACTAGCAATGAATGAAAATTTATTTGACTTTCATCTTTAAAAATTTGATTTTTCAGTTGTATTTTGTGTTCTCCTTCCTTCAACCTTCTTTTTTAATATTACATATTCTGGTGAATATATAGCTTATCACATGGTAGATATAATTTGCATTTTCTGGATGACAAAATCAGTTTATATGTCTTTATGCCATTTGGGAATCCTCTTTTGTAAAATGCCTGTTTAAGTCTTCCACTCATTCATTTATTAGGTTTCCTGTCTTTTTCTTACTGAGTTCTAATCCCTGTCTATATCCTCAATATGAGTTCTTTGTCAGATATACATACTGATGAATTTTTTATGCTGTGGCTCACCTTTTCATACAAAATTCATCTTTGATTTATTAACATCTTCTCTAAATCAATACCTTTTCTAATTCCTGGGTAATATAAGGAATTTAAAACAATTCAGTTTTGTATAGATGTTTTCAGGTATTTTATTTTCATTAAACCTAGCAAAATATTTTACTGTGTACAGACAATATTTATTTATTTTAACCCATGTATTTATTATTTCCATTACTTCTTACATTTCTAGGACTACATTTGCCATTATTTTGTTCTTTATTAAGTTTTAGAGCAGGTCTTCTGGTGACCAACAGTTCTCCTAGATATCTAAGATAAGATACTGAGGCTTCACTCCTAGCTCCTTTAGGTGTTCTCAGATTGAACTGTTTCCTTTTCACATTTAATCCAGATTTATGGTTATTCATGGTGGAAAGCGGGTCAGTTATAGTCAGTTAACCAAATAGTCAATTATAGCCCAGAAGGGCTTGAGCCTGTGGAGAGGTGTAAATATCGTTTTAGTATATTCTAACCGAGAGCAGTGTATGAGCCCTGTGAAAATACCTGGACCGATATTGGTAAAAATGGCCACACAGGCAACTCCTCTGCTCTGTGCCTCCACAGAAATACTGAAAAAATTAGCAGAAACTGTCAGTATTGCTTTTGCTAGAACTCTGGAAAATGGTCAAAGATTCCTTGCAGTCAAACAAATGCTGAATCAAAAAAATTCAACTTTAAAGTAGTAGGATAGTTCAGAGCATTTTTACTTGACCTTAAACAACCCTGAGCAGGCTCTGTAGAAATCTTGAACACAGGAGCCTATTTTCCCATTTGGGACATTGCTCCCTGAGTTGTGAAAGAACAGAGACCTTCTCAAAAAATCGTATGTGTCTATTGTAGTGTATCTTAGGGTGGCCTGAGGACTGAGGAAAGATGATAATCTTTGTTTTGCCTAACTAGGAACTCAGAGCAGAAAAGCAGCAGGCATTTATCACAAATATTGTAGGACTAATGAATAATCCACAATCACTTGGGTCAAAAGAGTATTGTTGAAGCATCTCACGAAGCATAAAAAGCTTGGGAAGAAATACTGGGGAGAGAGTTTCTTTTGGGAAATAAAGACAGTTCAAAAATACCTGTATATACTGTGAGGTTTCTAAAACCACAGCAATGTTTAAGGCAAGATGCATGTTCAGAAAAGATGTGAGAAGTCAAGCAGGATGATGCACACCTGTAATTCTGGCACTCAGGAGACTGAGGCAGGAGGATTGCCATGAGTTCGAGGCCAGCCAGGGCTATGTAGTGAGTTCAAGGCCAGCATGCACTACAAAGTGAGATCTAACTTCAGTAAAGAAAGGGAAGAAGAATGAAAGAAAGAACGAATGAACATGGGAAGATCTTACACTTTTACCTGTGGCTAATCTCTTCAATTCTCCAAGAAAACGAAAGGTAGGCAGAGTTATAAATTGCCAGGCTAAGAATAGCAAGAGTGCCAAAGCATGGAATCAATATACAAATTCTAGGACAGGTTTGTGATTTTTGTTTCTCCTTTATTGTAATTTGATTTTTGTTCTTAGATTTTCAAGGAAAACTCTGCCAAATATTAGCAGGATAAAACCTAGTTAAACATAGACTTCAGTAGCTACACATGGCAAATGACATAGCTTAGTGTTAAAGAAGTACTCTAAATCAGAGTCAAGATGCAATATTTGAGAGTAATTTTTATTTTTTATTTTATTTTTTATTTTTTGGTGGAGGTGGAGGGGGAGGATTTGGAATTAAGATCACTGACGGACTAAAGAGATAACAATAGAGAATTCAAAAATCACACACATCAAGTCATTGCAAAAACAGCTTATACAAGTCACTAAACAAGTGGACAACTGTCATCCTCTAGAAGCAAACCCTGGAGACAGAAAAAAATTCAGAATTGCCACATTATAAATTTCCAAATTCCCAATATTCAACAAGAGAAACCAAAAAGCAAGTAAGAAGCAGTAAAATATAACTCACTCATAGGAAAAAAGTTTGAATCAGAAGTGCCTCTCAAAGGCTTGCATTTGTTGGATCCCCAGCTTGGTATTTTGGGGAAGTGATGGAAAATATAAGAGATGAGACCTGTAGGAGGTCTCAGAGCATGCCATTGTAAGAGATTGGAGACCCTGGTCTCTTCTGCTTTCTTTCTGTTACTTCTTGGCCATGAGGTGAGCAGTTTTGCTCTGCCATTTACTCCTGTCTGTCTCCTGTTTGCCCAAAGCAAGAGGGCCAGCTGATCATGGGCTGAAACCTCTAAGACTATAAGCCAAAATAACTTTCTTCTTGCTTATAAGATATCTGTAGTGTTTGTTATAGAGATGAAATCTAATACAGGGATCATCTCTAAAAAGGTGCCGACATTTGACTTACAGAAAAAGACTTAAAACAACTGTCATAAATATGCTCAAAGATCTAAAAGAAACCATTGAAAAATTAAACTACAACAATGATGTATACACAAAAGACATATATAAATGGAGATAGAAATTATAAGAAAGAATCAGGTGAAAATCTGCAGTTTAAAGGTACGATAACTGAAATACAAATTTTATTAGGGATTTCTGTATAAGATTTTAGTATATCAAAGAAAGAGTCCATCAACTTGAAGATAGGAATTGAAATTATCGAGAGTCTTAGTTAACTTTGTGTAATTGTAGAAAAACTCCTGAGACAATCAACTTAAAAAGAGGAAAGG